ATAAAAGTACAGGTTGAGCATCCCTAATTCAAAAGTTTGAAATCCTAAATGCTCCAAAATTCAAAACTTTTTGAGCACTGACATGAGTGACATGAGTGATACCTTTGCTTTCTGATGGTTTAATGTATATAAACTTTGTTTCATGAACAAAATTATTCAAAATATTGTACAAAATTACCATCAGATATAAGGTACATATGAAATGTAAATGAATTTCATGTTTAGACTTGGATCGCATCCCTAAGAATATCTCATTATGTATTTATAAAATCTGAAAAAGTAAAAAATGCAAAATGCTTTTGGTTCCAAGCATTTTAGAAAAGGGAAACTCAATCCATAATGAAAGAAAACATTTTTGCTTATTCCTAATTTCAGATCAGGTTGTAAGGCTGTCTTAAGATACGATGTTAGCTGTAGGTTTTTCATAGATGCATTTTATCAGGTGGAGAAAGTTCTCTGACAGTCCTAGTTTGCTGAGAGTTTTTGTCATAAATAAATATTAAACTTTGTCTAATTTTTCCTGTGTCTATTGAACTGATACTATTTTTCTTCTTTATTTCATTAATATCTTGAATTACATTTTAAAATGTTAAATCAATCTTTCATACTACTTGGAATAAACTCAACTTGTATTATTAAAATTTTTATATATTGTTGGATTTGGTTTGCTCTATTTTGTTAAATATTTTTGTATCTGTGTTCACAAAGATTTTTAATTTGTAGTTGGTTTTTTTTTTTTTGGTCATTTCTTTGCCACATTTGGAAGTCAAAGTTGTTTTGTCATTATATAACAGGTTAAGAGGTGATAATGCTCTGGAAAATTTTGGGTGGGACTGGCTGAAATGTTTAGTAGAATTTGCTGCTGAAACTATCTGAATCTGGAGTTTTGTTTATGGGAATTTTTTGATAATTTAACTTTTAAAATAGGAGGTATTCAGATTTTCTGTGTCATCTTGTGTCAGTTTTTATAAATTTAGATTTTTCAAGTACTTTATCTTTCATCGAAATTGTCAAATTTATTGTCACAAAGTTATTTTTAATGTTCACTTATTGTCTTTTTAATTTATTTCGTGATATCCCCTCTGCTATTTTTCTTTTTTAAATATTTAAAACGATTTATTTATTTACTTATTTAGTTTTCACTCTATTGCCCAACCTGGAGTGCAGTGGCATGATCTCAGCTCACTGTACCTCTGCCTCCTGAGTTCAAGCGATTCTCCAGTCTCAGCCTCCCAAGTAGCTGGGACTACAGGTGCCTGCCACCGTGCCCGGCTAATTTTTATAATTTTAGTGGAGACAGGGTTTCACCATGTTGACCAGCCTGGTCTCGAATTCTTGGTCTCAAGTGATCCACCCGCTTCAGCCTCCCAAAGTGCTGGGTTATACAGGTGTGAGCCACCACACCCGCCCCCCTCTGTCACTTTTTCATACTGGTATTTTGTATTTTCTCTTTTCCTTAATATTCTTGGCAAATAATTTTTCAGTTCTATTAATTTTTTCTTGAAACCAACCTTTCTGTTGTCTCTTTTCTAATTCATTGATTTCTGTTCTTATATCCTCTGTCTACTTATTTGGGACCTAATTTGTTTTTTATGTCCTCCTAGAGTCTTAATGAATAATCTTAGATTGATTTTAACTTTCTCTCTTTTTATATATGTTTTTAAATTATAGAGCTTTTCTAAGCACTGCTTTCGCCGTGTATCATAAAGTTTGGTATGTTATATTTTTATTGTCGTTTAGTTAGATGTACTTTCTAATTTTATTTTTGATTTACTCTTTGATTCATGTATTATTTATAAATGTACTATTTGAAAATATTCAGGGATTTTTTTCAAATAGTTTGGTCATTTCCAATTTAATGGCAGGAGAGAATATTCTGTAAGATTTTGAAATTTTCAGTGAATTGAGACTTCTCAGCCAAGCATATAATCTATTTTGATGACTGTTTAATTTGTACTCAGAAAGAGAATGTATTCTGTAGTTGTTGGATTTCGTGGTCTACACATGTCAACTAAATGAAGTTAGTTAATAATGTTGTTCAGATATCTGTATCCTCACTAATTTTTTGTGTATTTGCTTAATCAATTACTGAGAGAGGGGTGTTCACATTTCTGAGATTTGGACCTATTTTTTCAGTTTTGTCAGTTTTCTTCATGTATTTTATTGCTTTGTATTTAGGGACATGAGTTTTTAGGAGTTTTATGTCTTCCTGATGAATTAGCCCATTTATTATTATGAATTGTTCCTCTATTTATGCAGTATTCCTTCACTTGAAGCCTATTCTCTATGATATTAATATAGTAAGTTCATATTTTTTATATTGAATGTCTTCACTATATATCTTTCCACTCTTTAAGTGTGTGTTTTGCACAAAACATATAGTTGGGTATTTTTTTTAATCCAACTTGACCATTCCTGTCTTTAGTTACAGTGTTTGGCCCATTTACATTTAATGTAACTATTGCTATAATTTGGTTTAGTCTGTCATTTTTCTGTTTGTCCCATTGGATTTTTATTCTACTGCTCCTCCTTTTCTTCTCTTCTTTGGAATAATTGAATTTTCTTTAGTATCCTATTTTAATATCTCTATTGACTTTTTACCTACACCTCTTTTAATTATTATTATTTTTAAATTTTTTGTTTTTAGAGACAGGGTCTGACTCTGTCACCAAGTTGAAGTGCAGTGGTATGATCATAGCTCACTGCAACCTCTGCTTCCCAGGCTCAAGTGATTCTCCAGCCTCAGCCTCCTGAGAAGCCAGGACTACAGGTGCATATCACCACTCTTGACTTATTATTGTGATTATTTTAGTGGTTGCTTTAGGGACTACAATATGCATCCTTAATTTATCACAGTCTAGAGTTAATACTGTATGATTTTTACATACAGTGTTATAATCTTGTAACCATATTGTTTCATTTATCCCTCCCATCCTGTGTGGGAGTTTTGCCTTATATATTACATCTATATGTGTTACAAAACCTGCATACAGTGTTATAATTTTTGCCTTAAGCAGTGTCTTAGTGAAATCGGGGAAGAAGGTATACAATATATATAGTTTAAATGTATTCACACATTTAATGATGGTTTTCTTTCTGTAATTCTAAATGTCCATCCGGTGTTACTCCTTTTCAGTATGGCAATAATTTCTCTCCATTTTTATTCCACCTTAATTTTGAAGGATATTTTTGCTGTATGTGTAATTCTGGGTAGGTAGCTTTTTATTTTCTTTCAACCTTTTCAATGCGTCATTCCATTGTTTTCTAGTTTCCATTGTTACGACGAGACATCCACCACTATTATAGCTGGTCCTCTGTATATAAAGTGTCATTTGTCTACAGTAGCTTTCAGATTTTCTGTTTATTTTTGATTTTTAACAGTTTGACTACAGTATACGTAATTGTGATCTTTGCATTTGTCTTGCTTGGAGTTTTCTGAGCTTCTTGTATTAGTACACTTGTTTTTAACCAATAATTGGGAAATTTTCAGCCACCATATCTTCACATATTTTTTACTCCCCAATTCTTTATGCTCCTTTTCTTCTGGGACTCAACTTACTCATATATTGGACAGCTTAATAAGGTCTCACAGATCATTGAGGTTCTACTCATTTTTAGAAAACTTATTCTCTGTTAGGTAAGGTAATTTAAATTAGCTTTCTTTATCTTTAGATCATCTTACTAGTTTCTAGTGATAGCATTTTCTCTTGACTGTGCACATGTTTTTTTCCTATTCTCAGGTTCAGTTGTTTTATTTTACTGTTACTGATTATATAGGATACCATGTCTTAAGTCTGAATCATGTCCTCTTCCTTTAAAAGGTGTTAGGTTCTATTCTGGCAGTCAGTGAAATTATTGGCAGATCCTTGTAGTTTTGCCAGGATTGGTATAATTCTCTCTTACAGCAAGTCTATTTCAGTTTTGAATTTAGTTTTAGGATATACTCCTTGCCTCTGGGGCTTAGTCTTATAAGAACAGCCTTTTGAGTTCTGAGGCACTCAGTAAGTTCTCTTCACCCAGGTTTGGTTGGATTTGTAACGTGTTTCAACATTGCATAGCCTCTGGTATTGCTCGCTGTCTATCTTCTACTGCTGTAGCAGGCAATCTTTGTGGGACTCACTCTATCTTACCCTGTGCATGTGCTCCCCAGCCTTTGGCCAAGGACCTGTAGTGAATGCTCATGCGCATATGTAAAGTCTCTCCTTTTCATAGTTCCCTCTGAAAGAAGGAACTCTGGGAACACCAATCTCAGAATGTAGATTCATTCTCTTGGTGTCCTGCTATCAAATCTCACAGGACAGTAACACTGTGTATGTGTTAAGTGCATAGCATTTGGTTTACTGAAATGCTGATGTGGTTGTGTTGGTGTGTAGTTTTCAAATAAAAATTCCCTCTTAAAACACGGCTGGACGCGGGGGCTCATGCCTGTAATCCTAGCAATTCGGGAGGCTGAGACGGGTATATCACAAGGTCAGGAGTTCGAGACCACCCTGGCCAAGATGGTGAAACACTGTCTCTACTAAAATTACAAAAATTAGCCAGGCATGGTGGCAGGCGCCTATAATCCCAGCTACTTGGGAGGCTGAGGCAGGAGAATTGCTTGAACCCGGAGGTTGCAGTGAGCCGAGATCGTGCCACTGCACTCCAGCCTGGGTGACAGAGCAAGACTCCGTCTTAAAAAAAAAAGAAAAGAAAACACTTTAGGGTTAGAATCATCAGAAATCCAATATTGATAAAACTTAAATAAATCTGTCCAGATCAATTAAAATTGTTGAGTCTGCTTATGAATGGAAGAAATCTTTGAAAAATTTAAAATTCTAACATATTTTTTTCAATTTTGCCTTCTCTGGATTTCCCTAATGTTCCCCTCCCATAATCCTTTTTATTCTTATATTCCAATGTGCTTTTAAGTAATACTACAAAGAGAATAAGCTAACAGAAGCTGAGATAAATTTTATTTTTATTTTAAACAGAAGAAAGGAAAAAGGGGTTACATTTTTATAAATATCTATAAATACAGAAGGATAGGCAAACTTCCAAATAAATAAATAAATATTGCCACATGATGAGGGATATAAGAAATTGTAGGAACTATTATGGCTTTGCCATAAAGAAAACCCCTGATGCTAGTGTTGAGTTTGTGAGATTACAACCAGTTTTCCACCAACATCCTTTTGGGATCTTTCACTGGGGAGCCTCCAATAGCTATTATGCAGGATAATATTTCCAACAGGAAATGAAAACAGAAATATTAAAATATTTGCCATGCGTGGCTATATACTATTATACATAGTTTTACTGTTTCAGAATAGGAATAGGAACCAATCCTTCAAGTTCAGCTTAAAACCATCAGGTCAAAACAGTTGCCCAATGTTTCTGTGATAACTAGAAAGAATAGATCAAAGTATAAGGTTAGTACGTGATGGCAGTGAGAAAAAAAAAAGGTGACTGGGAAGAAGCTGTTGTTGAATCGACTTTGCTTGTTAATATTCTGTCCTTTAGGTGGTCGTTTAAAGAGAGGTAGGAAAACGGAGTCCCCTTACGGGAAGAACCGCAGTAAGGGGGTAAGGCTGGGATGAGAGCTGACCGTCAGGCCCACCTGCCTGGTGCTCCTCTGCGCCCCTCCTGCTTGCTCTGGGAAGCTTTGTTTCCTCCAGATAGCACTGGGGCTCCTGGGACTGAAAGCCGACTTCATCTAATGCACCAAGAATTTCCAAGGGGATTGAGACCCAGATGTGTCAGCCTAGGAGTGTTTTAACGAATCCAAGAGCCACTGCTGCTGCAGAGCCCTAGAGACCACAGTCAAGAACCTGACCATGTGGTTGCTTTTTCATAACTTCTATAACATATCCCCTGATTATTGGATTTCTTTCCCCCTCAGTCCTTGATGCCACTTCATTTAGAGGAAAGCACACGGTTTTTCAGTCCACAGAAAACCTAACCCAGAGCGGCCCCAGTCTCTCAAGGCCCCCTTCTCAGTCACGTTTTTGTAGTTTGTTCAGAATGGATTCCTGCTCAACCTGGAAGTACAGCCTTAATTCAATGCCTCTTAGGAGAGCTGGAATTTATTTCCACTTTGAAAAGCAAATCCTAGCAGGGTAGATTTTCATGAACCAATATAAAAGCTATTCCTTAGACCACATTTTCAAAAACCAGAGATGGGGCCAAAAGGTGAGGCTGTATCATGAGCCACTTGGGAACAGAGTGGGGCCATTCTGGGCCCTCCGGCTGTGGCTGCAGAGAGGGAGACAGCGAGACACAGGGTGCTCACCCTGTAGGGAGGCTGAGTTTTCTATTATGATTCCTGCCTCAGTCCAGCAAGCATCAAGTTTACTTGTCAAGTTTTCACCAGCCTACCACCGGTCTTTTGACAGCTCTTCCCCAGAGATGCTCAAGGAAGAACGAAGGCTTGAAAGTAGTGTTTTCACCAACTTGCCCCGTTCAGTTGTTAAGGTTTGCACACTCAAATGCCAGTGGGATCGGGGCATGTCACATAAATGCACAGGGCAGTGGGGAAGCTTCTGGGATCTCTGGATCGCCTCTTCCCCCACACCTTCAAAGTCCTGAGCTCAGGAACCCACTGCTTGTTTGCTTGTTTGTTTGTTTGTTTGTTTGTTTGTTTTGCTTAAAGGTGATAAAGAAGAGAGGCACAGGGAAGAGAAATATGTTGGGAGAGACCCCTTCTCTCTACCTTCATGAAGGGGAAATTTCTAGTTTACCTGTTGGGGTTTCCTATTCGGAAAGGTGTTCTATGTGGAGTGAGGAAGGTGGTGCAACCCCATGACTTGGGCCTCAAAGGTTGATTCTCACAGGACCTCCTGTGGCAGGGACCCCAGAGAAGCAGCAAATTCCATCCATTGCCCCTGTCACCTTTCCCATCCTCGGAACGTCAAGGCAGCTGGTCCTTGGGAAGAGCTGCTATGCTGAGGGATGGGTTAAAGAGGGTGCCCTTCCAGCCACCCTAGATGAACTTGGGGAAGGGGCGGCAGCCTTCCGGGCCCGTTCCCCCAGCGTGCGTGTTCACCCGACCGCCCCTGACCACCCCTAACGGGTCGCTGGCTACCGGGCTGTTGTCCTCGGCGCTCGGGAGCTCCTGTGAGCAGGAGGCCGGGGCCGGGGTCATCCGGGCCCGGGGCTTCAGCACGTTCAGGGGGTCCCGCTCCGAGTCGTCCTCGGCGCTCCGGGTGTGCCGCCGTGGTCTGGGGGTGTTGAAGTGGATGAGGGGGATCTCGTTCCTCCGGGACAGGAACTGGGAGTAGGGGGGTGGGTTCATGCCTGGCAGGAAGGCCCTCTTCGCCCGGCCCAGACTGACCAGAAAGTGATGCTGAGGAGAGTGGTAGACGTCGTAGCCGTTCTCCAGCGTCCAGTGTCGGAACCTGCAGTTCTCGGGGTTGAAATAGTGCTGGAAGGGCAAGAGCGAGCCACGTGAAGGCTGGCCCGTGGGGGCCCACCCATCCCCCGCTCCTCCTGGGGCCACACGCTTGTGCCAGCCGGCCTGAAGCCCTGAAGGGCTGAGGGTGTTGAGCCTTCACCCCTTTGTTCCCTGCTGGGGTCAAGTGGTTCTGATTAATGCTCAAGCCCTGACTATAGTTCCCCCTTTCAGAGACTAGACTACTGGGGCCTGCGCTTACTGCCTGGCGGCCCGGGCTGGCCTGGCCTGTGGTTTTCCTGGAGTAGGCACCACCTCCTCCTTCCCGCCCTCTACCTATTCCAAGTCTCTGCTGGCTGAAAATTGGCTTGGGTTTGTCTCCTTGCTGGAGAAAGGAGAGTGGATGGAGTCTGTAGGGTCAAACATGAATGAGGGCACTGAGGGGACTGGAGACATGAACTTTGCTGACAGATGAGCTGGGTTTGAATCCTCTACCACTAGTACTGGGTTTTACTGAGTGCTCCACAAAGGCCTTTGCATGTTATTTCTTTTTTTTTTTTTTGAGACGTTGTCTCGCTGTGTCACCCAGGCTGGAGTGCAGTGGCACGATCTTGGCTCACTGCAAGCTCCGCCTCCCGGGTTCACGCCATTCTCCTGCCTCAGCTTCCCGAGTAGCTGGGACCACAGGCGCCCGCCACCTCGCCCGGATAGTGTTTTTTTTTTTTTTTTTTTTGTATTTTTAGTAGAGACGGGATTTCACCGTGTTAGCCAGGATGGTCTCGATCTCCTGACCTCGTGATCCACCCGCCTCGGCCTCCCTGGGTTTTACTGAGTGCTCCACAAAGGCCTTTGCATGTTATTTCTTTTAATCCTCAAACTCCACAAAGTAAGCAGTTTACAGACCAGGACTGTCTACGTGCCTAGATGGGTTCAAGAGATGTTTAGTTAGTTACCTATATTTCAACAGTTGTTCAACTGATTTTTTTTTTTTTTTTTCCTACTCTAGCCAGACACTATTGTAGGGGCTGGGATGCAGCAGAAAGCAAAACAGAAAGTCTCTGTTCTTGTGGAGTTTCTCGTGGGCAAGAGGGGTGGTAAGAGAATCCTGAGATAAGCAGTCCTACTATTTGACTATCTCAAAATCCTCGAAAAGAGGCCAACAGCCTTTAGTTTGGGAAACCCTTTGCTTACCAATCCGAACGAATAACGATCACAATTGGGGCAGGGGTTATTAATTAAAAATCTTTAACTGGAGGGAGATTCACAGGTCACGTGGTCTATTCCACTTCACTTTTTCCAAGTGAAAATGCTGAAGTTTGGAGAAGTGAGGAGATTTACCTAAAGTCACAGCTAGTCCCAGAACCAAGAAGACACCAATGGCTTTTCACCCTTTTCTAATGCACTTTACAACGTGAATTGACATGACTCGAGGACCTGCAACGACATACCAGGGCCTGTGCTAGATCCAAAAATGGGTTCCAGTGGGCAGTGCAGACTGGGGGCTGAGAGCCTGGGATCTGGAGCCAGACTGCCTAAGTTCAAACCCCAGCTATTAAACCTGAGCATTCAATACCTGGACCGCATGAAGCATCAGTGGAAACAGGTCACCAGGGTACACTGCATATGGAATTGTTAAGCTAGAAAAGTCTATGTCCTGTCAAAGAAATTAGGTTAATTGTTTGCATATGGTGACCAACACAAAAAAGAAACTCACTGATCCAAAAATGTTGCCTCTGAAATCCATGCAGAGGTATCTTCTGCTCATCACACCTATAATCACCACAAAGCCAGCATCCTCTGATCTGATCATCAGGGCACCTATGGAGAAAACCAGGCAGGGGAGACTCATTGAGCATCCAGTTCCCACCTTCAAGCACCTCCTGAAAACCCACCTTCATGAAACCTCCCTGGATTGATTTTTTTTTTTTTTCTTTTTGAGACGGAGTCTCGCTGCTGCGCCCAGTGGAGTGCAGTGGCCGGATCTCAGCTCCACTGCAAGGCTCCGCCTCCCAGAGTTGATGCCATTCTCGCAGCCTCAGCCGTCCCGAGTGCTGGGGACTACAGGCGCCCGCCACTCGCCGATAGTTTTTGTATTTTTTTAGTAGGAGACGTTCACCGTGGCAGGATGGTCCGATCTCTGACCTCGTTGATCGCCCGCTGGTGTCCCAAATGCTGGGATTTCATGGCTGTGTCATCTCCTATCACTCCGTTCCCCCCCGGATGAAAGGTTGGTCTGTGATATGACTCACACCTCCAAATCAGTCCTCATCTTACATATTCAGCATTGCTTCTGACATCTCTCTGCCCTCCAGCCGTACAGCATCACCTCTTTGCTTTCAGTCTGGCGCTGTAATGTTGTCTACCTTGATCTGTGCATTCTTCTACCTGTGCTGAACACATGTTTCTCTCTCTCTACCTATTTTCCCTTTTGCCTTACTAATGCCTTTGAATGTTTGTGGTGATAGTTACATTCTTCCATGCCTTCTATTTTGTGATTTTTAAATCTATGCTGAGATGTCTTTCAAGGATCCAGCTTGTCCACAGAGTCTGATTCTCCACCTGGATGTCTGTGTAATCGTCTAATACTAATCAGTCAACACCCAGTATGTGTACAGAACGGTGTTAGAGTTGATCTCCCTCTTCCTTCTCTACTTATTGAAGTCACTCATTCTTCAAGACCAGGCTCAGGCGTCACCATCTCTATGAAGCCTTTCCTCATCTTTCCATTCAAAATCAGTTGTTCTTTCTTCTCAGCTCCTCAGGACAATGCCTTCGCCTCTATTACAGCATGTATTCCATTTACCTTGCTTTAACTGAGTTTACCTATCTAGCGCCTTCCTTAGAGTGAGCTACTTAGGAGCAGAGGGTATAACTGTTTATGTTGAATCAATACCAGTGATGGATGGAATTTTCTTCTTGGGCTTTTCTTGGGTTGGTTGTCATTTTCTCACTTGGTGGTGACCCCTCCAGGTACAGTCCCTCATAGACTTTCAGTGTCCCCTCTCAAAAGCTAGTCTCCGACAAGAGTCTGAAACCCATTCACATGACCTACCTCTTAAGTAATTGATAACGGCTTTAAGTGTGCTTTCTGTTTTGTGGCAAAGGCACAATTAGACCATATACTAGTGTAACATGAGTGATAATTCAGCAAGACTTCTTCCCCAAATGTTGTTTAATTACCTGACATCTTCTGTTAAAAATCATTACTTTAGGTCTTTGGGGCCACTTCCGGTTGCCTATCACAGAAATTTCCAGCTGCATCTCATCTGACCTCACAGCCCCCAGGGAGGCAGCTAGACTCCCATGCAGGGATTCAAATTCCTCTTCTGCAACTGTAGCTTGGAGAGGTTGTGAATGCCCAATGTCTGTGCCTAGCAAGTGATGGAGCCTCCTAGGGGTTATTGAAAGCCCAAAGCTCCTCTCCCATCCCACGCAGGCTCAATACAAGGACCTTTGAGGAAAATAAGCAGCAATAATTCGATACTAGCTCAGCAGAAATCATGATAGGGGCTGAAATTGGAATGACATGGAACAGAAGGAATGAGACTGGAGACAAGCCCCAGACAGGTGAGAAAGGAAGAGGGCCAAAGAGAGAAGTTAATTTGTTTGAAAGTTTGGCTGAGGAGAAACTTGAGGGAAGCTTCCAGAAGGTGGACTGGGGTATGACAGGCACAAAGGATGCTTAAATTCCTCCACAGTGGTGTCTGCCTATGTGTCTCAAATGTATGGCTAGTTTTGTGGTAAACCTTTGGAGAAACATAAGGAACGTGAAAGAAATGATTTTTGTTCTGGAGACTTTTCAGTCTAATTGGGAAAAAATTACATTTAGTAATGGTCTTTGAGTGGTTGCACTCTAAGCACTTTACATATTTTAAATTCTCAAAACAAATGTTATATTGTTAGTACTAATTATTATTATTATTATTAGTAGTAGTAGTAGTAGTAGCAGCAATATCCTAATTAAGTGATAAGGAAACTAAGGCAGGATTGAAACTCAGGTCTGAGACATCTTCCTACTATGCGGTAGCAAGCCTCCAGCAGAAATCACTAAGAGTCTGAGAAGACAACATCAAATGCTAAAATACATGCTGCAGGCAGTGAGGACAAGGAGTCACGGCACCGCTGAGGGCTCAGGGAAGAGGCAATGAGCCAGGCACCAAGAACCGGGGAACTTGGATTTTGGTCCCAACTGTGCCACTTGCTGACCTTGCAGTCTTGGGCAACTTATTGCTCTAGCCTCAGTTTCCTCAGCTGTGAAATAGAACAATAGCTGTCCTGCCTACTTCATAGGGTGATGATCAAATGGGATAATGGTGGTAAAAGTGACTCGAAAGTGTCGCACAAACAGAGGACATCACGTGGCGTCTTCTGACCTGCTGTTTATGCCGGGCCCAGGCCTTGACAGGCGTGCTGGCCTGATGCTTGGGGTCAGTGTGGGCAGTGCATATGGCCCATGTGGTCCCGGTCTCCAGAGCCAGTCCCCCTAGAGAACCTCTGGCAGTGGCTGAGGAACTGTGAACAGCTGGTACAGAGGGACACAGACTCTTCCGTCAAACAGTGTGAGTCAATGTGAAAGTGTAGAAAACGTGAGAGTCACGGTTTCTTTCCTTTGCGCTTTCGAAAGGCATCTTTCCGCAGTCTGCACAGATTCAGGGGAGAATTTTGCAGAAGGAAGGCACAAACCACTGACTGCCGGAGCCCCCCGCCCCGCCTGTTGGAGCTGAGCAGGCTGAATGGACTTTGCCTTCAATGACGGAGCTGTCTGCATGCGTGTGACCTTGGAGCTGTCTGCATGCGTGTGACCTTGGAGCTGTCTGCATGTGTGTGACCTTGGAAGAGCGTGGGATTTGGGGTCAAGATGTCCTCTAGGTCTTTTACTCCCTGTCTGACCTTCAGCCAGTGATTTAAGTTCTTTAACTCTCGTTTTTTCACATATAAAATGAGGATGGCAGAAACATTTACTTACCTCATTTGGTCCTCTTGAAGACATAATGAGATAATGTTTTTATCTTTTAGAAAGTACTTCCTAAATGCTAGTAAGTTTTACTATGACCGCTTTGCCTCAACCTCTGCTTATACAAGTAGGAAATTATCTACTCCGTTCTACTCTTGTGGCCAGTAAGTGATAAATAAGATGATAGCAGTGAAGTGCTTTGAGCACCTCAAAATAAAAATGTATGAAGAAGGCTTAAGGAGCCCAACGGTAACTCAGCTTCAAGTAAAGAAAGTTCCTGTGGGGAAGGTGGAGGAAGTGAAAATACCAGGATCTAGGATGTGATATGACCAGGGGCAATAAACATCTCTGTCTTGCTGGTTCCATATAATGAGGATAAAGGGGAGTCAGAGGATGGCCTTGTTCATGAAACAGGTGATAGGGACATCAGAGGGGTACCTGGCAGCAGCGCTTGTGAGTCCCAAGGGAGCTTGAAGAATCTGGTAGGCAGGAGATAATTTCATTTTGTCAAGTCCAATGACCCAAAGATGGGTCGTGCACTCAACTCTTAAGAATTTCTTATAGCAAAATAATAAGATGAACCAGAATTCACTAGAAATGGATAATTAGGAGTGGAAAAAATACCCCTCACATTTTAGGTTTCCGTCAGTGTAAAAACATTGCTTAACAGTCACTGATGAGGTCATTACAAATCCTTCACCAGACATTTAATTAGTTGTGATTCTTATCTACGTGCATTAATCTTTCCTCTTTCTTTTTACGTAACTTTTTTTTTTTTTTTGAGACGGAGTCTCGCTCTGTCGCCCAGGCTGGGACACAGTGGTGTGATCTCAGCTCACTGCAACCTCCGCCTCCTGGGTTCAAGCAATTCTCCTGCCTCAGCCTCCCAAGTAGCTGGGATTACAGGCACGCACCACCACGCCCAGCTAATTTTTGTATTTTTAGTAGAGACAGGGTTTCCCCATGTTGGCCAGGCTGGTCTTTAACCCCTGACTTCAAGTGATTCTCCTGCCTTGGCCTCCCGAGGTGCTGGGATTATATGCATGAGCCACCACACCTGGCCTCTTTTGGGTAACTTTTAATTGTATTGTGTAATTTTTTTCCTGCACTTTTTCCCCCCCATAATACAAGTGACAACTGATTTGACAGTACAAAAAGTTATCTACATAGACTAGGAAAAGCAGATCTCTCTCCCACTCCCCTGACCCTAAGTTCCCCTCCCCGTATTTGCGTTTAACTCTTTAAAGATGCAACATTTAGCTAGTGCCTGTGTCTAAGAAAACAAAACCGTATTTCTGTTTTTAAAGATCTGAAGTCAGTTCCATTTGTTTTGCTGCCTCTCAATCCTTTTAATTCAACTAGCACTCAGTGATCCCTTGGGGCCTGATACAAGGTGGGTTTTCAAGGAAAAGGTCTACAGTTCAGACTGCCAGCCCAGGAGGTCGACTCTTCACACTCACTCCCCACCGTAGCCAGCCTGTTCTGTTCTACCCTAATTCTTGTTCAGGAGGAAACGTCTTTAAGGAGTTCCTTTCAGCAATGGGATTCCAGGATTCGAGACAAGTTGTGTAAACACTCTCTAGTTGGATGCCGCCCTTTCCATCTAAGAGAATCAAAATAATTTACCATCATCTACTATTCTGCATTTTAAATCACATAGAGTCTTGAATTAGAGTAAGAGTGGCCACTCCATGAGAGGCGCAAAGTCGCATTTCCTAAAAGTCTGGTAGTGAGCTGGCTGACAAGGCAGGACGACAGACCACAAGGTCCTTGAGGGGTTGTGTCTTACTTTTCAGTCACAGAGCTTGATAGAATGCCAGGCACGTTGTAGATCCTGTTAAATATCCATTGAATAAAATGAACAACACTTTGGGTTCATCAAGTATATCCAGATTTAATTGAAATTTTTGCCACGAGACTCAAACTTGGTTTCCAAGATGTTGACTCCTGAGTCTTACTATATCCTCTAGAGTTCTGGAACCTGTTTGGTATTTGGAGAGAACTTTTCTCTCTCCTTTTATCTCCTATCAATATGCATCTAGCACTTGAGGAGGTTTAAACTCTCAATTCCGCATGTCATATATCTTGCAACTTAATTTTGCATGTTATATATCTTGCAACCAGGTTTAAGGACCTTTGGTTCCTAGAAGAATAAATGCCTCACACACAGCAAGGTCACAGCAAAAATAATTAACTTATTACAACAATAAAAGGCAAATCATAATTCCTATGTTTTCTTTATTAGAGATTGTCTAACTAATTTTTCTTTCCCTTAATTTGAGCTATATTGGATCAGTTTGCATTTTTGTGTATCCTTAGAGGTATTTTCACATGTTTTCTTAAAATAGAAGATCCAGTCTTTTTCAATATCCCTGCTCCTACCACATTACCCCTTATATAGGTGCGCACAAAGTGGCCCTCATTTGAATCATTGCTAATGGATTGATTATTGTGGATTGTGATCCAATTCTCCACAAACCTGACCTTTAAAAACATTCCAGTTGTCTCATGTTGCCAATAAGTTTCTAACTAGCTTGACTTGCTACTGACTGGACACCTCTCAGTTCCACGGAGAAGAATCACCAATGCGTACTGGGTACCGGGGTACCTGAGTATCTGAAACAGCCTTTAAACCTGTTAAAGTTTAAAGGTTGGATGGATGGATGCGTGGACAAATGAATGGGTGGATGGGTTGTATACTTGGCCATTCTCACCAAGACAACATTCCTGGACAGTCTGTGTTTAATACATTTTTCCAAGAATTTTTATAAGGCCAGAATTGGAAAGAGCCCCCAGATTTATCTATTACAATCTGGGTATGACCCGGGAATCTTCTTTCCAACCTGCCTAGTTAACCCAGCCTGAAGTCCAGGAGCTGAAACTTAGTGTCTGTTGATCTGCCTGGCTTCTTTTTCTCTTAGACTCCTTGCCTTTCTTTCAGTACATTTTCTGAATCTTTTGATGGGGCAAAGGGAATATGGCTCCTACTGTGGGAAGGGTTTTAGTTTAAACAAAAAGTATGCATGTTAGAAAAACCAGCAAATACTAATTAGGAGAGTGACAGAATCTTCCCCTAAGATTTAAATACACACACACACACACACACACACACAGACAATAAGTGGTTCCTGGGCAGAAAGCTTGGAGGGTTGGATTAGCCCTCCAGTCTAGTCCCCAACCTCACCAAGCCCCCTGTAGATGGACAGCAGGGGCGCACCCCTTCTTCCCAGCTTGAAGTCCTACTCACTGTAGATGGTCTGATGGGGTGCGCCATCCACGTGGCCATTCTTGTGGATCTGCAGGTGGTAGCTGTTCCTGGCTGTGGCTGTGTACAGATGGATCAGGCCACCCCAGCTGGAGCCGAGCAATGGGGAGGCATTGGGATAGGCTCTGATGACGCTCATGCTGCAGACACTGCACAAGGCACAGACCCAGAGCCTGAGGCGGGCCCCCAACATCACGCCCTGCTCTGAGTGGCTGGTGCTGAGATTGAAACCTGACACTCCTGTCGGGACTCTCCTGGCCCAGGCCTCACTGGCCTTTTCCTTCTCCCTTGCAAGTAGCTGGTGTGAGGATCCTAGACTGAATTCCCTCCTTTTTGCCATCAGACTTTTAAAGGGTAGCAGTGTGACATCAAACAGGAAAAACTCCACTGTCCACATCCTCTGTGTTGTAATCAGCCCATTGAAAGAGAGTGCAGAGACCCCGGAGGCGCACGGAAGGCACGTCGGTTCCAGACACACACACCCCCCTCAATTTCAAGCCAACGCTCCAAAAAAATGAATGACGCGTGGGCAAAAGTTATCTGCCGCTCTGGGCTGTCTGTTGACCTGTCCCACGTCCATCAGGAAATGCGAAGGCAGCCAGCGGTTCCCAAAAAAAATCCAGCTTCAGTCAAGCAGTCAACCGACTCCTAGGCAATTAATCTCCCGTCGAGTTTACTTATTTTGGTTTTCTTTAAATTCCAATCAGCAAGTATGTATCCAGTGCTTAATCTATGAGCAGGATTCGGTGGCTAGCTTGTAGGATATAGAGATACAAGACACCGTCAGGCAGATGGCATCCTCTGAGAACCCCCAGTTCGTGAAAGATGGGAGCTGGGAGCAGGGGCACAAAAACCAAAGTTGCCATTTTGGGAAGATTTTGAAATGGAAGAAAAAGAAGCAAGGTCTTGAGGTCACTGAACATGCCAAGGTTCGATTTCTCAATTTCCCTAGTTTGGACTATCGAGGACAACTAAATGAATAGTCTCTCCAGGAGTAAGGAGACCCGTTCAGAGACCTCATGGGGATTGGAAAGGCTGCTGGCTGAGCACCGGGAATCCGAGCCTCAGGACAGGGTGTCCCCACATTTAGTGTCTGTACATGAGTGCTCAACTTGGTGCTGGATGCCTGCCTGCAGATGCTGTTCACAGTGCGCCCTCTGGGAAGCTACACCTCATGTTGGGGGGAATAGTCCTGGCACGCACAGTCTAAAGGGGAGCAAGCTACTGCAACATACACCCGAAAAAATACCCAAGGAGACTGCTGCTCTTCCAATTTGCCATGTACTGAGTACATGCCATGTACAGGCATCAAGCTAGACATCATGTACAAGTTGATATAGGAGACAGCAAGATGTGATTCCTGTCTCGAGGAGCTCAAATCTAATGCAGGAGGCAGATAAAAATAAGTAACCGTAATACAAAATGAGTGCAAGCATACAGGTATAGACAGAAAGAAATGGCATCTGTTACCCTACATTTGTGCAGTTTTTTTTTATAGTTTACAAAGCATTTTCACATCTATTAGCTCATTTGAACCTCACTGCCACTCTGTGAGAGGGGCACACCATGCATTATCAAGATTTTAATACTTTACATGAAGAAATGGAGATCTCAGTTTTTCCATGTCCAAAGGCACAAAGCAAATAAATGGTAGAGCCAGGACAGGATTTTCTCCTTCCCCAAGCTGCTTCTCCAACGAATCACAGCAACAACTAACACTCATAGAGAGCTTACTGTTCCACTTACTGCTCTAAGCGCTTTACTTGTGGTCACCCATTTCATCCTCAGAATAACTCTTTGAGGAGATGCTGTTATTTTCTTTATATAGATCAGGAAACCGATGCACATGGTTTAAGTAACTTGCCTAGAGATAGAAAGGTAACATGTGGAAGAGGTTGGATTTGAATCCAGGTCTGGACCCAAGACCTCCTAAGCACTTTTCAAGATGTCCAAACCCACACAACATGCTAGAGCTAAAGCCATGAGAGCCAGGAGCTTGGTAAGAAAGTGCAGGTGGCAAAGCAGTCCTCTATCATTCTCTAGAAACCCAGGCTTTTACCCAGGATGAATCTCTAGGTCACATGGTGCTTGTCTCCCCAGGGTTGAATGGAGGAAATATGACATGACATGTTTATATGTAAAACAGTCTTCTTTGCTAATGGCCACAGAATGGATTATAAATATCCTGCCACGTCTTAGCTAATTGAAGAAATAGCTAGCTTTCTTTGAGAATTGAGATGCAAATCGCTTAGGAACATTTGTCCTGCATTTCTTCTTCTGGCTGTGAAAGGTAAAGCGATAGGAAGTAACTCTAAAGCAATCAGCAGCAATTGAGAACCTTCTCCGTGTACGAGATGAAAGGGAGGGCGAAGGTCTACAAAGCAGGACTAACTTCTCCAGGGGCTTACAGTGTAACCGAGCGGGGAACATCTTTGTTCAATACAAGGCACTGTGTGGGAGGAGCTTCATTACTAGGACCAAATTAGTGAAGATGTGGTACTATATTTATAAACCATTCTGTGGCCATTACTAAAGAAGCCTACTTTATACATACACATTTAATGTCATTCATCTTCTAAACAACCCTGGGGAGACAAGCACTATGTACCCTAGAGATTCACCCCGGGTAAAGGCCTGGGTTTACGAGAGAGTAACAGAGGAGTGCTTTGCTGCCTGCACTTTCTTACCAAGCTCCTTCACAAAGAAAGAAAGGTTGACCAGGCGTGGTGGCTCACGCCTGTAATCCCAGCACTTTGGGAGGCCGAGGTGGGCAGATCGCTTGAGGTCAGGAGTTCGAGACCAGCCTGGCCAACGTGGTGAAGCCCTGTCTAAAACCCGTTTAGTAGAAACCCTGTCTCTACTAAAAATACAAAAAATTAGCTGGGTGTATTGGTGCATGCCTGTAATCTCAGCTACCTGGGAGGCTGAGGCAGGAGAATCACTTGAACTGGGAGGTGAAGATTGCAGTGAGTAGAGATTGCACCACTGCACTCCAGCCTGGATGACAGGGCGAGGCTGTGTCTCACACACACACACACACACACACACACACACACGTCATGGTGGGTGGACGCTGTGGTCAAGGAGGGCTTTGAGGGAATGAGAGAACTGAGGGAGCTTTGTAGGATACACAGGGAAAGGATTTCCTCAGTACGTGCCAAGCATGGTGGAGAGGGAGCGCAGGTGTCTTGAGATAAGTCCACAGCTGTTGGGTCATTCCCTTAGCTCCTGGAGGGACTGAGGAAGGGGCTCCTCCGTGGCCACTTCGGCTTGTCTTATGAGGAAAGAGAGCCCTGTGCCAGCTTACCCACCTGTGCCCGCTTACCCACCTGTGCCCGCTTACCCACCTGTGCCCGCTTACCCACATCCAAAGGCTGTCTTCCAAGAAGAGGCCCTATGTGCTTAGCACGTGGCTCTAATGGCAGAGTCCACTCCAGAGGAGTAGATTTATTTTTAAGGAGGATGGGAGGAGACGCAGCATTTCCCACTTGGAGAGAGTAAAGGAAGACACAAGAATCTCAGACTAACTCTGCCCATTTGAGATGGGGAAACATCGAGAGTGGAATTGAGGATTTGCTCATTGGAACACGGAGACGGCAGAACGTCCAGCTCCTGGCTGAACTCCCTACCAGTGGCTTCCAAATCTGGTTGCTCACTGAAATTACCTGTGGAGCTTTAAAGCCATAATTGCCCCAGGACTAATCTTAGACCTACTGAATCTGCAGGAGCAAAAGCCAGTTATCTGTACTTTATTCAAAGCCACCTGGGAGATTCTTATTCTCCATACCAGACGGGGCTGATACTAAAGTACTTACCAATAAACAGGCTTTGAGCGCCAACCACACATCAAGCACTGGAAACAGGACACAGAGACCAAGGCCCTCTTCAGGGGCTGGCTCAACTTCCCATTCCCTTCTAGGATGTCCAGCCTAACTGCAGGTCAAGATGTCAATGAGCCTTTCTAGGGAATTTAGTACTGAATGCTAAATCAGTACCCTGTGCTGACAAGTATCCTGTCCTTGAGCCCAGTGCATGGTCTCCTCTGAAGCTCTAGTGGGTAAGAGAAGGGAGAGGCCAGGAGATGTCGGTTCCTGTCCGTTGCACCTAGAGGGCACTCCTCCGTCACAGTTCAGGTCCAAGGGTCTGGGAACCAGTGTGACCTTAGGAGTCCAAAGAGAAACACAGATACCAGCTGTGAGCAGGAAGCCCGGGGAGGAGGCCCTGAGTTTGTACTGCTTGGATGTCATTGTCCTTGGTTCCCAGGTAGCTACCTGAACACAGCAGATAGGCTGGTCCCATGGCAGGCAGAGGAACCTGTTGTCTCCAGCCTGGCCTGGAAGCCCTTCTCTGGCATCAAGAGGATTTGCCCCGGGAGCTGTGTGGAAGCATCAAGTCTAGTCCCTGCATTTACACTCATAGAATCAAGGCTCTTAGTGTAGATAAGGGCCTACAAGAATCTGTAAGAATCTGTATTCCGGCTGGGCGCAGTGGCTCACGCCTGTAATCCCAGCACTTCGGGAGGCCGAGGCGGGCGGATCACCTGAGGTCAGGAGTTTGAGATCAGCCTGACCAACATGGTGAAACCCTGTCTCTACTAAAAATACAAAATTAGCTGGGCGTGGTGGCACATGCCTGTAATCCCAGCTACTGAGGAGGCTGAGGCAGGAGAATCGCTTGAACGTGGGAGGCGGAGGTTGCGGTGAGCCCAGATTGCGCCATTGCACTCCAGCCTGGGGTAACAAGAGTAAATCTCTGTCTCACCAAAAAAAAAGAATCTGTATTCTGGCCGGGAATGGTGGTTCACGCCTATAATCCCAACACTTTGAGACACTGAGGCGGGTGGATTGCTTGAGCCCAGGAGTTTGAGACCAGCCTGGGCAACATGATGAAACCCTGTCTCTGCAAAAATTAGCGAGCATGGGTGCATGCCTGTAGTCCAAGCTGCTCGGGAGGCTGAGGCAGGAGAATTACTCGAACCTGGGAGGCAGAGGTTGCAGTAAGCTGAGATTGCACCACTGCAAAAAAAAAAAAAAAAAAGGAAAAGAAAAGAAAAGAAAAAATCTGTATTCCTGCAAGTTCATTACTTTCCTTCATCTCCTGACTTCTTTTTATCAGCATCTGCTCTGAGAAGGTCCTGAAGAAGATTATCTCACCCAGATCATATTCACTCAATGTAAAGACTTGGCAATAATTTTCAAACAATAACATCAACTTCATTGGCCTTATCTATGATGAAAAAATGTCAGAGGAATCAAGGAAAACAAAAAGCTGGGAGATAGGAGAGAAAGTGGTCTCATGGTGGCTCGCAGATTTCTTTTCTTTTTGAGACCCT